ATAGAGCCAAGGATTCCTCTCAACTGAACATTGAAAACTTGAAACTGAAATGAATACTTGATAGTGCAGCTGCTTATGCTAACGCACTTTTGCCCAACCAACCAACACGTGCTGCTTAATGACTTGGCAATCGATCGAGCATCCGATTGACTGATTGACTGACTGACTGCTCGCCTGATTGACTGACTCATCGAGCCGTCAGATGTGAGAAACTTCTGCAGGCAGCGACTCATCCGAACATCTGCGACATCTTAAATCTACAATTCCAATTGCACCCAACAAGCAACAACGAACAGCAAACAACAAACAACACACAGAGCAGAAGACAAAAGACAGAAAACAAACGATGGCGAATGGCTTTTAGCGGATAGAGGATGGCGGTCGACGAACAACAAAAGAATGTTTTGCAATTGAAAATAATTGTTTATGCTTGGCATTAAAGTCATTACAAAACGACAAATACAACGCAGTCGCATTTTTTCAAGTTTCCAGCATTAACATTGACAGTTTGCCGGAGAGAGGCAGCAGCGCCTTGCCAAATCCAAAAGCGAAGCTCACGAAACTCCAAAATCATCAACATTACGATTATTCATGAGTACCAACGAGGAGCGATTCTTTACCTAACGTCACAGTTTCTATCATTAACGTACTTAATGATCTTTGAAAACTATCCTGGGACAATCTTCTTTGTTCCCTAAAACAATCTTTAACTGTAAAACTATTCGATATGGATTGGAAAATATATGAATTTGTACTTTAAGATTGAGAATAAATAATACGAGGTGTGTTCAAAAAGTAAGGTGACTCTTCAAATTTCGCGAATTTCAAATTTTTCGATTATCGAAACCTTTTAGAAGTTATACGAGGTGTGTTCAAAAAGTAAGGTGACTTTTCAAATTTCAAATTTTTCAAATTTTTCGATTATCTTCAGTTTTGGGAACAAGAAAAAGTCACATGGGGCCAAATCCGGTGAATATGGTGGCTGAGGCATTATTGTGGTGTTGTTTTTGGCCAAAAAATCCAAATCCTTTGATCCATATTTTTCGATAGCAAAAAATCGCCGAGCTCGCAAAACAACTTGTAACTTTACGCCTCTCACAACCAAACAAAAGAGGATGTTCCATTGAAACTTGGTACAGATGTTAGGGAAGAGTGTACCAATATAACAAAACAAAAAAATCGATAATCGAAAAATTTGAAATTCGCGAAATTTGAAGAGTCACCTTACTTTTTGAACACACCTCGTACATAAAGGCAAACAGGTATTCTGATCTGAATTGGTGGTTGAGATTGGGGGTTGCACTTTCACAGAAACGGGGAAGAATTCACTTTTGAAGGTTCAAATGCAGATCTGCTGGGAATCAGAAAACAAACTCAACGAGGTATTACTCAACGAGGTATTATTACCTTGGGCAGCAATCAGAATTTTGAGTTTTGGCAGAAAATGGAACTATCTTCATCGGACTTATGCCTATAACTTAGCCAAAACAAGCCTCAGAGTTAAAGTAAAGACTGTTTTGAGCAGCTTTCGACTTAAATAAACTTTCCTCATCATTGGTTTGAGGATTTTGTGAAGTTGAATTTTTAACAAATTTTTGGATTCTCTGTAAGGGGTAACATCATCAAAATCTGAGAAAAATTGAAAGATTTTTACGTTTCAAGGTGGGGACACAGTTCGATTGGAATTTTAATTACGAATTCAACGCTATATCACATTCTACATTCCGACAATTATTGCCTTTGTTATAGGAAGAATTCTTCTTATGTTGGGCCCAAAATCAAGATTCTGCGTTTCGACAGAAAATTATCTTAGTTTTTGTCGGATTTATAGCTATAACTTGGTCAAAAGAAGGCTCAGAGCTAAAATGAAGACAGTTTTGAGCAGCTAACGACCAGAACTAACTTTCCTTATCATTGGTTTGACGATTTTGGGAAATTTAATTTTGGGCAAAATTTCGCATTTTTGATAAGGGGTAACATCGTCAAAACTTACGAAAAATGGCTAAATTTGTACATTTCAAGGTGGGGACACAGTTTTGTTGGAAATCAAATTACGAGCTCAACGAGGTATTACATTCTACATTTGGACCTTTATTGGCCAAGAAATGAGAAAAATACTGATCTTTTGGGGTAGAAATAGGGAGAAACTGAAACTTGCACTTTCAATAAGGGGTAAAATCTTAAAAATTTGCAAAAATCTGCCAAAAATGTACTTTTTCAACTTTAAATGCAGTTTGCAAGGAATTTTCATTACGAGTTCATCGATGTATGACATTCCTTATTCAGTTCATTATTGGCTTATTTATGATCAAAATAGTAGAAGAATTTAACTTCATTTCGCCTCATCTCTCTCAGCTCTCGCTGAAGTAGATTTGGTGAAGAATCCCTCCCTCTGCCTTAGCTCCTGGAAACTTGAGGCTTCTTCGGAAGCATCATTTGAGAAATAATTTTGCTCAGTGGCTTTATGCAACGAATGCGCAGGTTACATCCGCCAAACGGTTGCTCGTTTGAGGGACACACAACAATCGCTTCCTCGGCGCAATCTCCTCTGGGTTTTTCTACCGCTTTGGTGGTGGCATAAGAAGGCAGCCAGGCCGAGGGACTTGATGAGCCCGCTTGACAGGTGACTGCTCACAATTTATTTGCATTAGTTGGCAACTGTGAAAGGCTAAAAGGCTGAAAGGCTGAAAGGCTGAAAGGCTGGAAGGCTGAGAAGCCACAGACTTCAAAGTGGTTAGGCAAACAGAAGCCGCCGTCGCGCCAAGCTCGATGATGGGCTCTCGTAGAAGTTCGATTGTAAATATTTGGCCAGCAGCAGAAAAAAAAGGGCTTGAAAAGAACGGTGAATGAGTGGAGTGGTCATGACTCATGCCTCATGCCTCATGACTGGCTGGGGCACAGGTACCCCCAGCTAGATGAGCTGAAAAGGCTATCTAAATCTCCAGTTCTTGGATCTTTGGCAATACTCATTGGCCAGAACTGCATACGGTAGATGTTTCCACCCACCATTTAGCCACAGATTCTGTCACTCACCCGTCGCATTCTGTCAACTTAATGAGCGCTTAAATGCCAAATTAAAAATGGGCTCCCTTCTTTTGGCTCCGAAACTCGTGACTCCGGTGGGCGATTCCATTCGATTCGATCTCATTTCGGTGCTCTCCGTTGCTGTTCTTTCGTGTCAAGTGGCCATAGTTCGGCGTAGCGGCCATAATTTTGTTTTCATTAACAATAAATTTCAATTAAGCTCACGATTTGTATATTAATAAAGTTTTCAGCGGCACGAAACGGAAATAGCCCCAAAAAGCCGCAAGACCGAAAATAAGGCCACAAACGGATTCCAAGTGTGTAAAACCTTTTTGTTTTTCTTTTTTTTTCGCTTTTTGAGGTAATTTTTCTGGTGATTTTGCGCTTGTCGCCAGATTTGTAGACCCCGAATCCGAGTCCGAATCCGAATCCGTGGCTTGTACAAATTTTTATGGCCCGCGTTTATTGGCAACATAGTTCCATAGGCCAACAGAATGCTGCCTCGTGTGGGCTGTGGGTGTTCGCGGCTTGCTAGCTCTTTGTCTCACTGCCTTCGTTCTGTTTTTGTTTTGGTTTTTCGCCTTTTGCTGCCACAGCTTGGTTGGGGAATTTTCAGATTTTTGGTTTCCAATTTCCATTGCTTAAAGAGGGGAGTGCCTAGCCTTCTGCGTGACACTTCTCGGCACAGGCACTTGTTGTGTGGAAAACTATCAAATTTCCACACTGACTTGACCAAGTCATGTACCTTAATCTCTGGAATTTCTCCGAGTGCAGCTCATGGGATGGCCATTCATCATTTACACACCTTTCCCACAGCCATAATTGCCGTTTATTATGCATATTAATTAATTAAGGCATTTGCAAGTCAATTCCGATTGATTCGAATCGCTGGCCAGCCCATTATTAATTAGCAAATTGCTTGAATGGCCCACATCAAGCATACGCAGCGTGGGCATGCCAATGAAGATGGCCATTCGAAGATGATTTATGGCTGTGCTGTTACAGCTGTCGCCTGGCAACTACTTCTTTGTTCTATTTCTACTCAGATAAAGACAAAGACAAAGATTAGTAGAAGGAGTTTGCTATGGTCATACCACGATTTTCCCACGATCTGCAAGGGGCGGCAATTGCCGGTTAATTGATATTCTGCCAGCTAGGAGGCGGGCCAGGGAGTTTCTGTAATTAGTTTTCTCGGTTAATTAAAAATACTTATGGTAGAGACCAGATGTAAGCTAACACGAGTCCACGAGTACGCATTTGCATGGCACACAGAGCTCTTTCACATACGCAGGCAGCTAAGGCGAGGCCGTAAATTAAGTGCCAGCCTCCGAACGTCAAGGCATATGGTGCTGTATATATACCGAAATCGGGAATAGATAAACCCAAACTGCCACCACGGCCCACGGCGGCGAGAACCGCTAGCGGACAATGACCATGACTGCAGCGGTCGCTGCTGGAAAGATATACTCGTATACGACGCGAATAAATCTAAAAACAAACGTCGGCAAGACCGGGAGCCAAGTGTTACCGTTAACCATGACGAACGCGGCGGCACAGTGGGACGAAACGAGGAGTCACAGGTGAAAAATAAGAATCACTGTGGCTTAAACTGGTTAGAATTTCAACTTAACTTAGTAAGTAACTTATCTTAAAAGTTAGTAACAAACTTAATCAATAATAAATATTCTTAAAAATAACTTTCCTGCTCCACCGTTGACCATGAGTGGTGCTGGCTGGGCGGTTTAGACGGACAGTCGCCTCGGGCGTGTAATTAAATCATTTGCTGGCCAAGCCGACCAGTTTCACTTAGCCAAGTTTCTTGGGGGGCGCTAAATTAACTTGTATTTAAAGGCCCAATTAGCCTGACAGAGTTTTGTCACAAAAGTTTCCTTCCAGCCAGCCCCCAAAAAGTGTGTTAAGTAGTCCTTGGCTTCCGGTTAGATCCATTTCCCTGCCAACTCTCAGTTCGAGGCGAAATGTCAAAGCTATTCGAGGTATTCCTGGGCAATCTGTGGACGCAGCGCTTCACCTTTGCCCGCATGGGCCTGGACTTGGTGCCGAAGGCAAAGGGAAGAGTTCTGCGATCCCCGGCTCTCTATGGCATCATGTTCGTGGCCACCGGCTTTGAACTTTGCACCGTCTGCGCTTTTATGGTCCAACATCGCAACCAAATCGTGCTCTGTTCCGAGGCCTTGATGCACGGCTTGCAGATGATCTCCTCGCTGCTGAAGATGGCCATATTCTTGGCCAAATCCCACGACCTGGTGGCCCTCATTCAGCTGATTCAGCAGCCATTTACGGTCGACAGTCTCGGAGACTCCGAATGGAAGTCCCAGAACCGTCGTGGCCAACTCTTGGCTGCCATTTACTTTATGATGTGTGCCGGCACCAGCGTCTCCTTTCTGCTGATGCCTGTGGCTCTGACCATGCTGAAATACCACTCCACGGGAGACTTCGCCCCAGTCAGTTCGTTCCGAGTGGCGTAAGTTGTGGGTGAAGAAGGTGTTTCCTCTAAGGTGTTTCACTGTATCTCCCTATCACAGACTACCGTACGATGTGACCCAACCGCATATCTACGCCTTGGACTGCTGCCTGATGGTCTTCGTGCTGAGCTTCTTCTGCTGCTCCACCACCGGAGTGGACACCCTGTACGGCTGGTGTGCCCTGGGCCTGAGCTCCCAGTACCGTCGCCTTGGCCAGCAGCTGAAATGGATTCAGGAGCACTCCGATCCATCGCGTTCCGACTTGGGCTGGAGTGGCCTGATCGTCGAGCATGCCCGGCTCTTGAGGCTGGTCAGAAGGTTCAATGCCAGCTTCATGGAGATCGCCTTCGTCGAGGTCCTGGTGATCTGCGTGCTCTACTGCTCCGTGATCTGCCAGTATATAATGCCGCATACCGACCAGAACTTCGCCTTCCTCGGCTTCTTCTCAATGGTCGTCACCACCCAGCTGTGCATCTATCTCTTTGGCGCCGAGCAGGTGAGACTCGAGGCCGAGGGATTCTCCAGTCAGCTGTACGAGGTGATTCCCTGGCAAAGCCTATCTCCGCAGCAAAGAAGGTTCCTGCTGTTGCCCCTGCAGCGGGCTCAACGCGACACGGTCCTGGGCGCCTACTTCTTCGAGCTGGGCAGGCCGCTCCTCGTCTGGGTAAGCACTTGGCTAGTCACTAAGCTTGGATTAACCTTCTTTGAGGTTGTTTCTCTCGCAGATTTTTCGCACCGCGGGCTCTTTCACCACTTTACTGAATGCACTTTACGCTAAATACGAGACGCCTTAAGGAAAGACTCTCCTTGACGGCGCCATAAAGGAAACTGTCGTGGTGTGGCTTTGATTTTATTTCGTTTTTATTTAGGTTTAACATTAGATTTAACATTTCTCGTTTATGTACACTCACATAATAAAATTATGCTGAATTAGACAAAAAATAATTACATTAGATACGCATATGCATATAAGAGATATACTATATAGACGCATGTGCAGGTGCAGATGCGGCAGACTACGGGCTAGGTTTAAGAATTAACAAACGATGCGAGACAGAAAGCAGACAGACCAAAAAAACATGGATGCATATTATATGGTAGATCGTATATGGGTTAAGGGATGGGACAATACAGGTGCTTGGGCGGTGGCTCTTCTATCTTGTGGGCGTGGCTTGCATTCATCTCGAAATAAAATAAATAAAACTAACAGGGGGAGGGGAAACGAAAGTGGTAATGGGTGTTTCTGTTCATGGTTTTTCCTTTTTTGTTTTCTGTTTTTCTTTTTTTTAACTTGTTTTTGTTTTTGTTTTTGTTTTTACGCATATAGTACCTTAGCTAGTACCAAGCTTAACTGAGGGCCAGTAAGGGCTCTATGTCTAGGGGATCGGGTAACTTGGGAGCCGCCTTCTTGCGGTACTTCTTCTGCAACTTTGTCTTCGACAACTTCGACTTGCTTTTGGACGAGGCTTTCGGCTGGCTCTTGGTCTTCTCCAGCTCCTTCTCCTTCTCCTTCTCCCTGTCCAGCAGCTCCAGCTGCTCGAATATGTTTTTGGGATGCGGATGAGAGTGCGGCGCAGTGGCATTCTTGGCCGCATACACCACCACGAACTGGGAGAAGGCCGAGTCCGCCGGCGTATTGATGTCAGCAAAGTCCCGGAAATTGGCGAACTGCTCCTCGGGGTAGGTGTACTTCTGCACGAATCCCTCGGAGGGCCGTCCGTGTCCGTTGTTGGCATCTCCGTAGATGTAATCACTGTTGTCTTCCGGGTGATAGGGCATTTCCTCCTCGGGATAGAAGGTTCCTCCTCTCAGCACCCCAAAGTCTCCGCTGCCCAGTATGCTGGCATCGAAATTCCGCTGTTGATTTGCCGGATGTTGTGGCTGCTGCTGCTGCTGTTGTTGCTGTTGAGGGGCCAACAGAGGCAGGGGCAGGGACAGAGACGTGCTCTCCGATACCGGTGGTCCATGTCCGAAGTAGGGTCTGGAGTGGCCCAGGGGCGGGGCCTCGTGGTAGAAGGGCGGATAGAAGTTCTGGGCCGCCTGCGTGTGGGAATCCCCAACTACTTTGGTGTTCGGATTGGCAATGGGTCGGAATTGGTCCTCCTCGTCGGGATTCTGTTGGGCTGCCGTCTGGAATTGCCTGGGCTGGGCCCTGGGCTGAACTCTGGCCTGGATTTGGGGCTGAAGCTGCGTTGTGGGCGGCATGTGGAAGTGCTGTTCATGCGATCTCAGTACGGTGATGGGGGCAAAGTCATTCGGCTCCATCAGCATGTCGCTGTCCTCTTCCGGGAACTCGGCTGAAAGATAACCAAATGAAGAGGAGAAATCAGAAATCAGAAATCAGTCAAAGAAACCCACTCGAGATTTGAGAGTTGAGAGCAGTGCCCGGGTGCTTGATGAGATGAGAGGGAGATGAGATGAGGAGCCCTTGTGCGGTGCTCAGACGTCGAGTGGTGAAATGTGTTGCCGAACATGCGTCTCGAGTGCTGAGTGCTGGGGATCACTCGACAGAGCAGGAAATGCTGCAGAAGATGACATTTCCTCTGGCGAGTGGGGCCACAGAAAGCCAAGCCGAATGACAAGTAGCAAAAACATTGCCTTTTATCTTGGAAGTAAGCCACCGAAGGTTGCTCATGGCAATGACAAATCGTTAATAGTTTTGTCTTGATTATCAACTGGGTAAGGAAAAGCCATTAGCTGGCCATCTTAAATCGAAATTAATATCAATTTTATATTATTATTTTGGAGTAATTAAAGATGAAGCCATTAGGTTTTGGCTTGGCCCGAATTCTGGCACCTTCGCCCCCAAAATGCATGCCAGTGGAGTTGAGCTTTGGCTGGGAGTCTGTTAACGCTGAACCGATGCGAAGTCAATGCGAAGTCGTATGCCAACTCAATTACTCTCTGGCTCTTGGGCTTGGGCTCTTGGCCTCAGTTTCGGCTTCTGAGCCTTGTGCCTTGTGGTTGGCCGGCCAGTCAAATGTCGTATCGATAAAAGTCGATAAAAATGTGACTCGAACTGAGCTGAGCTGAGCCGGGCAGCTGGCACAGATTCTGTGTGTGTGTTCAGTGTTTGCTGTTCTAGGCTTATGCTGCTCTTGGAGCTAACGATCTCCATCTCCTCGATCTCTGCATCGGTATATATAATTCTATATAGTTAAGACCCCACCCTCATCGGCCAAAAGCCTTTCGTACTCGCATGCGATTTTCGTCGTTTCAACACAATTTTTGGCTCTGGCTTGTACTTTTGCTGTTGTTTTCTGTTTTTCTGTTTTATTTTTGCTTATTTTTTTTTGGAATTTTTCAGACTTTTCTCTGCATGCTATATGGTTTGTTTTTGGCCCAACACCCGCTGGTAGTTTGGCTTTTGGTTCCCCTACTGCCGACTCCCAGCTCCCAACTCCCGACTGGCAAGCACCGAACATAATGAGTTTGTTAACTGTAATTGGGTTCCGTCGGCTCTTGGCTGAAAGCGAAAAGCCAGCTCGATTTTCGGCTTTGATAGTGGCTGGCTGCCAGAAATGGGTCAAACACACGCAGATATGTCGTGTGGTAAGTGGAGATTACTTTATTATCCATTTGACGGGGCCTATAAGGCTATATCTATATCAGTATCTCTGTCTATATCCCACGATTTGGCTAATTTACCAAATTGCCGCGACTTGCTGCTGGATAATCGATCACGTACACAGGACACCCACGGCAAAGATAAACCAGCTTCGATTTCGATTTCGATTTCGCTTTTGATTTGTAAATAATCAAACGATATTTGGATGGTTGCGAATATTCACAAATACTTCAAACTTCAAGTGCCTGGCTGGCAATCCAAAGACGAGTAAAGACTTTCTCTTACATATCTCAAGAGACTGCTCTTTAAGCTCCTTGCAAAACCGTTTCCAAACACGAATTAGTTTCCCCCAGAGAACTCTCGACTAACATTAAGAAGCCAATCAATCGGTGATTAAAAATGGGATCAAGTTTAATGAATCAACTTTTCGAGGTGCAAATCTGTTTACGTTCAAGCTCTGTGAATCTGAATTAGCTTGGCCAGTCGAAGGTGACATTGCCCCGGCACTTTGATGGATGAGTTTCGAAATGGAAAACTAAACTAAGCTAGTCGCCAAATACCTTTGCTTTTTACTCCGAAACGAAAGCCAGGCACGAGCTGTGGCAACGTTTTCTTTGCTTAAATTTGGAAATTATGAAAGTGCCAAGGCAAAGGCAGAGGAAAAGTGGAGTAAGCTGGCGAAATCTCAGCCAAGGCACATCAGCAGATCAGCCAGATATAGCCAGATATATATATATATATTTGTATTTGATGACCCTGAGGCGATAAGGAGGCTGCTGCTGCTGCTGATGCAGATGCCTAGGCAGATGTAGATGGCACAATGGGCGTATGCGTTAAATTGAGCGCGTCGTGCCCGCAAAGCAAAAGCCCTCGCCGTGTCTTCAAGTGTACTTAATACCGATATATATCTATAAAGATATATATATATATATGGGCAAGTCTGTGTGCGATCACCATGACATGAGCGTGTCTCTTCAGTCACTTACAGCAAAATTGCACATTGCGATCGTCGTCGGCGTTGCGCGTTTTTCTCCATGGCTCGGCTCTTCTTTAATTTTTCAGTCTCCAGGCCCCCGATTGTATCGGATTGCGACGTGGGCGTCAGCCGTGTAATTAACACATTGTTACCCTGCCTCTGTCTCTGTGTGTGTGTCAGTGTCTGTTGCAATGAGTAATGGGGCAATGGGAAGCGTGTCTAAGTGGGCGTTAAATGGCCGCCTCAATGCGTCCATCACCTTTATCATTATCATCATCGTCATCGTCATCGTCATCGCAATCATCTTTTGGCCAGGCCCACTTGTCGCGCCTCCCCAAAAACCGCCGAAACTCAAAGCCACATCCATAAATTAGCTCTGAGAGTTGGGGTTTCTGCTAAATCAACCAACTAAGACACTAATTCGAGTAACTATAACTCGATCTGATGATTAAACATCCCACAGATAGTCACCCAACATTGCCCAAGCCCCTCGATCACTCATTGCACTCCCCTCCACTCCTTTCCACACCTCTCCTGGTGTTCATTTCATTTCTTATCCATTTTCCAGGCACTCCCCATTTCGCTTGCCTTCCCCCTTGGGGATTTTCCCAAATTTCCATCTCCTGTGGCAACTCATCAGCGCTCGGGTATGCAATTTTCCGGCAGTTTGTTGGCACTTACAGCGGCGCATGCGTGTAAACACGGACCGGGTCGTGGGTTGTGTTTCGTGGTGTACCCCCCTCCACAGCCCACCCCCCGCCAGCTTTTCCTCTGCACCTCATAAATTTTCCAAATCATTCGGCACTTTCACAACAGGTTGGCTGGAATGGCTTTCACGAATGGATTACAGCGGTGGAGGGGTTACTGGCTGACTGGATACTAATCCAGTCTGGGACTTTTCAATCCGACCCTTTGGATGTCAATGTCGGTCGCCTGGGCAACTTTCCATTCTACCAAGCCCCCTCCTTGATCCCCCTCTTATGGAACCATAGAGGAACCTTTGACATTCAGCGAGCAATCTGCAAGTTGAGGGTGTTGGATTTTCGAATTGACAGTCGTGTCGTGTCGGTTATTTATGAGGCCGTTCCAGCAGCTTGCATACATAACTAAATGTTAGCAATTAGCCGCTTTTTATGTTACATTTTAATGACAGTTTCGTCCCTCCCACTGCCCCTTTATCTTTATTTCTATTACTGTTTTTCTTTGCCTTTTCTAGCTCCCCACCTTCGGTTCGTGTTTTCCGCATTGAGGCGAGGCAACCTTGAGGCCGCGCTGCAGGCCAGCCACTTCATTGGTCTTCATTTGCAATTCGATTGCACTTGACTTGGCCGAAAAGAATCTGGCCAGCTTCGGTGTGATGCTGGCTGCTGATGATGATGACTCAGCTTCGTTTTCGAAGTTTTTCCAACGTCTCAAGCTTAGCCGGCCGGCCGATGCAAGCGGTCAATGTCAGTTGTTATTGGGATGGAAATGGCTGGGAAGGCAGAGAGGGGAACCGCAGCGGGGAGAGCTACCAAATCGTAGAACTTGGCTGAGAGATATCCACACACTCGGACGAGTCGGCGAGAATCGCATTTCAAGACTAACCACTTGGCCAGCACTTGCTGCCCGTTAATTGTCAGTACACGGATCGAAAAGACTGACAAATTGTTCAGATATATCTATATCCATATATCTATACTTAATGGGTATTTAAAACGAACGATAATTATCTTCTGTTCTTCAACGGACTCTTCACAGTTTTTATGGGAATTCTCAAAGTTATGGCTAAATTTTTGGCCTGTGTAGTGGTGGTGGCGGCAAAAGATGCTTACACACGACCAGCACGGCGTATGCGCGATGCTATAAATTATCACTGATGGAGTGGGTGCGCGATCATTATGTTAGAATAAATGGTTTCTATGCCATGGTCTGGGACAGCTGGGCAGTGCCTGGCGAGGCAGTGACACCGAGACACCGAGTAACAACCAAATTAATGAAAAACTTCACAGCAACAACAACCACAGGAGGAACAACAACAACAACATAACAACAGCTAAGAAAACAAACAACAAACAGACAAGTAAACTTGACTGCCATTTACGATGTTTGTGGTTGCCGTTGCTGTTGCTGTTGCTGTTGCCGTTGCTGGGGCATAATTAAATTTGCATTTTTCTCATCGCCTTTTGTTGGCTGAGAAAATCCAGCGGTCGAGGTTGCCACAAAAACTGATTTAAGTAAGGGGCACGCCCTATAGTTAGCCATAACTCATCAGAGATAGATCTACCCTTAGCGAGAGGGTGCACTTCTCACCTTTCATCTTCAATCATGAAGAGCCATCCATCATTTTCCGAACTGGGAGTGCCTTGACAACGCCCAGCGCTAGAATGCCGCTTCCCCCGGTCTTCTCCAGCTTCCGCATTGGCCAGGCATTAACTAGAGCTGCGGGTCAGCGGATGGATGGCCATACCCAACCCCAATCTGGGCAGGAATATTAATAATGATGGCCGGGCCTGCTCGCTGCAGACTTGAACTTTAAAGGCCAAAGCAAGCGGATGACATTTAACTTGACCAATAAAGGCAGAAGAATTCTTCTGCAGCGCCAAATGTCAGGCAGCCGAAAATATAAAAAAAAAAAAAAAAACAAATCGAATTGAAACCAAAATAAAAAATTTGAAACAAAAGACTCGAAACACGAACGCGGGCAGCCACAAGGACAGACTTCTGGTGGGGTTGGGAAGGGGAAGGGGGGTGGCGATGGGGTGTGGGAGTGG